AAATGCGAGGTGATGCATTTTGGTGGATCAAATTTAGGTGTGATTTATACTGTAAATGGCAGAACCCTTCGGAACATTAACATACAGATGGATCTGGGCGTGCAGGTCCACAGTTCTCTAAAAGTGGCAACACAGGTAGCCAAAGTGACTAAGAAGGCATGTGGCGTGCTTGCCTTCATCGGCCAGGGCATGGAGTACAAGAGTTGGCAAAGCATGTTGCAACTATATAAAACCCTTGTTAGGCCGCATTTGGATATTGTGTGCAGTACATGGGACTACATTGTTGTGGCCATTACAGAGACTTGGTTGAGAGAAGGACAGGACCGGCTGCTCACCGTTCCAGGATTTTGTTTTGTTAGACGAGATAGAGAGAAAGGTAAGAGGTGGAGGAGTTGCATTACTAGTCCAGGAGAATGTTAAATCTGCACTTGGAGAGGACATGCTGGAGGTTCATTCACTGAGGCAGTATGGGTAGAGCTCAAAAATAAGATGGGTGAAATCACTCTGATTGAATTATACTTTGGGCCTCCCAACAGCCACCAAGAGATTGAAGAACAAATACGTCAGCAAATTGTGGAAAGGTGCAATAAAAACAGGGTTGTCATAGTGGGTGACTTTAATTTCCCCGGTGTTGACTGGAACTCCCTTAGATCAAGAGGCTTAGACGGAGCAGAATCTGTTAAGTGCACCCAAGAGGGTTTCTTGAAACAGTATTTCCAACTAGAGGAGGGGCCATACTGGACCTTGTATTGGCCAATGAACCCGGCCAGATGACTGACCTTTCAGTGGAAGAGCATTTTGGCAACAATAATCACAACTCCTTAAGTTTTAAGATAGCTGTGAATAAGAATAAGTAAGGACCTTGCGGGAAGGTACTAAATTGGGGGGAGGGCAAATTACATCAGTATTAGGCAGGAGCTAGGGAGTGTTAATTGGAAGGAAGCTGTTATCATGCAAGTCCACATTTGACATGTGGGAACTGTTTAAAGACCCTCTGATGAGAGTTCAAGACCAGCATGTTCGAGTAAGGAGGAAGGATAAGGATGGCAAGATAAGGGACCCTTGGATAACGAAGGGGGTTGTGAAATTAGTCAAAAGGAGGAAAGAACCATACATAAGGTTTAGGATGCTAAAATTGGACAGGGCCCATGAGGAATATAAGGAGAGCAGGAAAGAACTCAAGTACGGAATTAGGAAAGCAAGAAGGGCCACTAAATGACCTTGGCAAGTAGGGTTAAATAGAATCACAAGGCATTCTATAGGTACATTTTAAAAAAAGAGGATAACTAGAGAGAAGGTAGGACTACTCAAGGACAAAGGAGGGAACTTGTGCTTGGAGGCAGACAATGTGGGTGAGATCCTAAATGAATACTTTGCATCAGTATTCATTCAGGAAAAGGATATGAAGGATAGTGGGATTAGTGTTGAACATGCTAATATGCGAGGGCATTTTGTGATCAAGAAAGAAGTGGTGTTTACATGGATTTTAGTACGGCTTTCGACAAGGTCCCTCATGGTAGGCTCATCCAGAAAATTAAGAAGCATGAGAACAATGGTGACTTAGCTGCATGGATTCAGAATTGGCTTGCCCATAGAAGGCAGAGGATATTGGCGGAAGAGTGTTTTTCAGGCTGGAGGTCATGACTAGTGGTGCTCCACAAGGATCCGTACTGGGATATATATAAATGACTTAGATGAAAATGTAGATGGGTGGATCAGTAAGTTTGCATACGATACAAAGATCAGTGCAGTTGTGGATAGTGTAGAAAGTTGTCAAAGGATACAGCGAGATATAGATCAATTGTAGATATGGGCAGAGAAATGGCAGAGTTAAATCCCACTAAGTGTAAAGCACTGTACTTTGGGAGATCAAATGTTAGGGAAAAGTATATAATTAATGGCAGGACTCTTGAATAGCATTGATGCACAGACGGATCTTGGGTTCAAGTCCATAGCTCCATGAAAGTTGCCATGTAAGTAGATAACATGGTAAAGAAGGTGTGTGGCGTGCTGCTTGCCTTTATTGGTCAGGGAATTTAGTACAAGAGTCAGGCAACTTTGTAAGACTTTGGTTAGGCCACATTTGGAATATTGCATTCAGTTGTGGTCACCACGTTACAGGAAGGATGTGGAGGCTTTGGAGAGGGTGCAGAAGAGGTTAACCAGGATACTGCCTGGATTAGAGGATCTGAGCTATAAGGAGAAGCTAGAAAAACTCAGGTTGTTTTCTCTTGAGCAATGCAGGCTGAGGGGAAACTTGATAGAAGTCTATAAAATTATGAGATGTATAGATAGGGTTGACAGTCAGAATCTTTTTCCCAGAGTTGGAATGTCTAATACTAGGGGGCATGTGTTTAAGGTTGGAGGGGGAAAGTTCAAAGGAGACGTGAGGGGCAAGTTTTTTTTTAAACAGAGTGGTAGGAGTCTGGAACGCACTGCTGAGGGTGGTGGTGGAGGCAGATACAATGGGGAATTTAAGGGACTTTTAGATAAGCACATGAATATGCAAGGAATAGAGGAATATGGACCAATGGCGGGCAGAAGGAATTAGTTTAATTTGGCTTCATGTTGGGCACAACATCGTCGGCAGAAGGGCCCATTCCTGTGCTGTATAGTTCTATGTTCTATGTTGACACTAGGAAGCTCAGAGGAATTTAGTGCTTGTCCACAGATCCCTGAAGGCAGCAGGTTAATAGGGTGGTTAAGAAGGCATATGGGATACTTGTCTTATCAATCGAGGCTTAGATTATAAGAGCAGAGAGGCTTCGTTGGAGTTGTACAAAACGAACTGAATAAAGCTAGAGTACTACATGCAGTTCTGGTCACTACACTGTAGGGAAGATGTGATTGCACTGGAGAGGGTGCAGAGGAGATTCATCAGGATGTTGCCCGAGATGGAGCATCTTAGCTATGAAGAAAGACTGAATAGATTTTTGTTGTTTCTTTCAGAGCAGAGAAGAGGACGTGTATAAGATAACAAAGGGCATGGGTAGGATGGATAGAAAGCAGCCGGTCCCTTGGAGAATCAATAACAAGGGGGCATCATTTTAAGGTGAAAAGCTTTTTCATGCAGAGGGTGGTAGGAACCTGTATCGCATTATCTGCATGGTAGTTGAGGCGGGAAACCTCACAACCTGTGCTGTATGACTCTATGATTCTATGACCTAGTCCTTGTTCCTGGTTTCTATGTCAGATCGTCCAACAGTTTGGAGATTCTAATGTGCCCTGGACTGGTGTGGGAAGGTTTTTCAACAACAAGTGGCCACTTTCAAGATCTTGGGAGTAGGTGGCAGCTTCCTTCTGGTCTTTAGATGTAGGTTTTTTGACTTAGATTTGGACTTTTGACTTTTGGTTGCTTTCAGTTTAATTATTTGATGATTCTGAGCTGGTTTGTATTTGTCTTTAGGGTCCAAGGCAGATGAAAATGGTTGACTTTTTCCAAACAGCATTTGCTGATTCTGAAGACCTAGATGATGAAGCTCTTCTGCTTGAGGCTGCTGATATGTGTCTTGATTCTCACCAGGATACCGGCATCAATCCTGGAAGCAGCTTCTGCACTGGCACCGGAATTTCACAACAATCTAATGATACAGAGAGCCCCCTTAAAAAGAGACGGATTGAGGAGTATTTTATCAAATAATGAGATTGTTTGAAATAAGAAATTCAACCAGAAAATCAACATGAGTTCATTCTGCACATACTTGTGTAAATGAGTACATTTTGTAAATAATTTACGGTAAAAATAGCCTTAAACTGAAATATGTTTTATAAGGAAGTACAGCTGAGAATCCTGTTGGTCTGGAAAAGTTTGGTGAAGAACATTTACAGTTTTTATACCTACATCAAGTGCTGAATCGTCCAGAAACAACCTGAGGGGGTGTGGGTTGTATGTTAAGGGGAATGTGGCGTTGTGTTGAGGTGGTGTAGGTTGTTATCTCTTAGATTGGAGGTGTGTACCGTTTTTTTCTAATCCCAGTTCCTCCATTGGTCACAACAAAATTTAAATTGAACACGTTGGTGAAATGGACAATTCTATAATAGTGTGTGTCTAGTTCAATGTATGAACAAGTCAGCCAAGTTTCTTTAGTCAGCAACAAAATAACTTGTTACAGACCTCAAATAAAGATGCAACGATTATTGACCAAGTTTGTATATATAAAATTCCTTTTTAACGAAAGAAGCATGAACACACACAAACTCATGAAGAAAGAATTTCACAGATTGTCCAAAATGGTGTTCTGAATCCAAAGTTATTCTGCAAACACAAGCTGCTGGCACTGGGATGTCTCGCTGGAACAGCTATAACTGGCGCATTCCCTTTTCTGGAGATGGTGTGGTAGATGCCAACTAATCATGTAGCTCATGCACTTTGCTGAGAAGAATTGTAAAGTCACATTGGACTGTTGCTGCTCAGGCAGGTCTTGAATTCTCTGTCTGAGTTCAAAAATACACTCATCACCCACAGTCTGGGCTTCTTGACCTCCATCAGAAAGGTTTCCAAGCTGTACGATTCTATCAAAGCTCCTTGCTCCTCGCAGGTCCAACATTGTTGTACCCTGTGCCTTTTCCTCCAAGAAGTTCATGGTATATTTAGATGAATCTGTATAATCCTTTTTATAAAATTAATCTTTGGATCATGTCAGTTCATAACACATCGACCCTTGAGAGAAATGAAATGTGGCTCAGATTTTTCTTTAATTCACTCGTGGGACAGTGTTGCTGACTGGGCCAACATTTATTCCAAATTGTCCTTGAGAAGGTAGTAGTAAGCAGTCACTGTAGGCCATGTACTGTGGGTAGATCCACAATGCTGCTATGGAGGGAGTTCCAGGATTTTGACCAGCAACACTGAAGGAGTGGGCCCTTCCAACTTGCTCTGCCATTCTGCATGATCATGGCTGATCCATTGGGACAATGTTGTATTCCTGATTCCCTCCACAACCCTTGATGCCTTTAATATCTAAGAATTTATCAACTTTATTGAAAATATCAGTGACCCGATGGATTTGGAGATTATATGTGGGGCATATCAGGTAAGGATAGCAGCTTCTAGAGAGTCATATTGGACTCAAAACATTAACTTATTTTTTTTCACTCATGGGACTTGAGCATCATTAGCTGGCTAACATTTGCATCAATGTCATGTATTTTATAGTGAATAATACAGTAAAATATTGTGAAAAGCTTCAAATGTCACCATGATCTGGAGCCATTTTGAATAGCTTAAGAATAAAAAAAATTTTTTAAATGCTGACAGAGTTCATCTTCGTCCTACCGCCTCCGCCATGAGTCCTGAGCCCCTCCGCCTCCGCCACCTGCATGGAACCCACTAATATCAAAGTCACCACTCCACAGGCGCCATCTGTTCACCACAGTCATTGCTACTCCTATCACCGCCTCACCACCGTCTCCGCTGGACCCAGTAATGTCAAAGTCGACACTCATTAAGGTGCCATCTTTTTGCTGCCAATGATGAATCAGCCAACGATACCAATGCCAGATACAGTACTGGTCCCACACTCACCCTCGCTGATAAAAGATGAGAAAAGAAGATGAAGAAAAAGAAATGCAGATGGAAATAGGAGCAGATGAACCTTGCTTCCTCCTTCTCCACTATCTTACTGGAAGTCATTTATTCCCCATCCTTAATTGCTGTTAAGAAGGTGGCGGTCAGATGAATGTTTGGCTGAAGGGATGGTGTAGGAGGGAGGCCTTTAGATTTTTGGACCATTGATACAGTTTCTGGGATAGGTGGGATCTGTACAAACTGCATAGGTTGCACCTGACTGGAATGGGTCGAATATCTTTGCTGAGAGGTTTGCTTGTGTAGTTGAGGAGGTTTTAAACTGATTTAGCAAGGAGATGGGGCACAGAGTGGATGTAAAGTCAGGAGCAAGGCCCAATTAGACTTAGAAGGCATACTAAGAAAATCCAGGACGTGGCAAAGACATAGACTGGATAAGACACATGGGAGGTCTGGAAAGCCATTTTGTCTTATAGCAAGGAAATTGACTGATAAGGTGGATGACCTTAGAGCATTGATCAGCACATGGAAATATAATATTATTCGCAGTCAATGAAATACAGTTGAAAGAAAGGCAGGACTGGCAGTTCAACATTCCAGAGTATAAACGTTTCAGGCATGATGAAGGTAGATGTAAGAGAGCTGGGGGCATTTCATTATTGGTAAAGGAAACCATCACTGCAGTAATGAGATAGTAGGAACTCCCAATGTCCCCCTCCACTGACACCCTCATCCGCTTAGCTGAACTCGTCGTCACCCTTAACAACTTCTCTTTCAATTCCTCCCACTTCCTACAGACAAAGGGGGTGGCATGGGTACCCGCATGGGCCCAAGCTATGCCTGCCTCTTTGTAGGATTAATGGAACAATCCCTCTTCCAGAGCTACACTGGCCCTATCCCCCACCTCTTCCTCCGTTACATCGATGACTGTATCATTGCCACCTCGTGCTCCCACAAGGAGCTCGAACAGTTCATCCACTTCACTAACACCTTCCACCCCAACCTTAAGTTCACCTGGACCATCTCTGATACTTCTCTCTCCTTCTTGGACCTCTCTGTTTCCATCTCTGGCAATCACCTGGAAACCGATATCCATTTCAAGCCTACTGACTCCCACAGCTACCTAGACTACACCTCCTCTCACCCACCTTCCTGCAAAAATGCCATCCCCTATTCCCAATTCCTTCTCCTCTGCTGCATCTGGTCCCAGGATGAGGCATTCCACTCCCAGACATCCCAGATGTCCTTGTTTTTCAAGGACAGCAACTTCCCCTCCACAGTGGTCGAAAACGCCCTCGACCGTGTCTCTCGCATTTCCCGCAACTCATCCCTCACACCCCCTCCTCGCAATAACAACCAAAACAGAATCCCCCTCGTCCTCACGTACCACCCCAACAACCTCCGGATCCAACGCATCGTCCTCCAGCACTTCCGCCATCTGCAATCTGACCCCACTACCAAAGACATTTTTCCCTCCCCACCCTTATCTGCTTTCCAGAGGGACCACTCTCTCTGTGACTCCCTTGTCTGCTCCACACTCCCCACCAGCCCCACCACACCCGGCACTTTCCCCTGCAACCGCAGGAAGTGCTACACCTGCCCGTACACCTCCCCCCTCACCGCCATCCCAGGCCCCAAGAAGACCTTCCACATCAAACAGATGTTCACCTGCACATCTGCTCATGTGGTATACTGTAACTGCTGTTCCTGATGTGGCCTCCTCTACATCGAGCAAACCAAGCGGAGGCTTGGGGACCGCTTTGTGGAACACCTACGCTCGGTTCGCACTAAACAAATGCACCTCCCAGTCGCGAACCATTTCAACTCCCCCTCCCATTCCGCAGACGACATGTCCATCCTGGGCCTCCTGCAGTGCCACAACGATGCCACCCGAAGGTTGCAGGAACAGCACCTCATATTTAGCTTAGGAACCCTGCAGCCCACTGGTATCAATGTGGACTTCACAAGCTTCAAAATCTCCCCTCCCCCGACCGCATCCCAAAACCAGCCCAGCTTGTCTCCGCCTCCCTAACCTGTCCTTCCTCCCACGTATCCACTCCTCCCACCTCAAGCCCCACCCCCATCTCCTACCTACTAGCCTCATCCCGCCTCCTTGACCTGTCCGTCCTCCCTGGACTGACCTATCCCCTCCCTAACTCCCCATCTACACTCACCTTTACTGGCTCCAACCCCACCTCTTTGACCTGTCTGTCTCCTCTCCACCTATCTTCTCCTCTATCCATCTTCTATCCGCCTACCCCCTCTCCCTATTTATTTCAGAATCCCCTTTCCCTCCCCCATTTCTGAAGAAGGGGCTAGACGTCAACTTTCCTGCTCCTCTGATGCTGTTTGGCCTGCTGTGTTCACCCAGCTCTACACCTTGTTAACTGCAGTAATGAGGATATCTTAGAAGGCTCTTCAAATGAGGTCATCTGTGTAGAGCTCAGAAATAAAAAAAAAAGAGGTGATTAACTTGCTGGGATTATAACACAGGCCTCCCAACAGTCAGAGGGAGTCAGAGGAGCAGTTTATGTAGACAAATCACAGAAAGGTGGGAGAGAAACAGAAACAGTTGTAGGGAATTTCAACTTTGCTAACATTAACTTCGATCATCTCAGTGTGAAAGGTTTGAATGGGGTGGAATTTTCAAAGTGCATCCAGGAGAGTTTTTTGTGCCAGTATGTAAAGAGTCCTACTACAGATGGGAAGTACATACCTAATTTTAAGTGCATATTGGGGATAGTGACCATAAGTCTAACTTCAAAGTCATTATGGAAAGGGTGACTTGGGGGAAGGCTGATTTCAGTATCATTAGACAGGTTCTGGGAATGAGGTACGTGGTCCGAACACCTCACGCAAGATCAAGGTGGTTCAGGCGCACGGTGGGCTTCCAGGTGAACTGACCCCTGTCCATCTGGAATTTGACATCAGTTGCTCGCAATGGACTCATCCCCCAGGACATGGCAGCCCACAATCTGAGCCATCTCGGGGAAATCCTCCCCATGCTCTTCTGAACAGCATGGAGGCATTTCTTCTGCAGGCTGCTTCTGCACAGTGTCCATTTCCCCAACTTCCCCACCGCTCAGATACGCCATGACGTGATGTTTTTTCCCTCCAGTAGCAGTGATCCCCAGTGGAGGGCCCTAGACAAAGGGATCCTTCCCTTTTCTATCAGGAATCTGAGGTGGACAGTTCTGCTCACAGCAGTCCTGTGCAATCATAGTTTGAGTTATTTCCCTGGGTGCCAGGCCATGTTTTTTTCTTTCTATTCATTTCTGGGAAGTGTGTGTCGTTGGCTGGCCAGCATTTCTTGCCCATCCCTAGTTGCCCTTGAGAAGGTGGTGGTGAACTGCCTTCTTGAACTATTAGAGTCCTCCTGCTGTGAGTTGACCCACAATGCTATTAGGGAGGGAATTCCAGGATTTTGACCCAGCGACAGTGAAGGAATGATGAGATATTTCCAAGTCAGGATGGTGAGTGATTTGGAGGGGAACTTGGAGGTGGTGGTGTTCCCATATGTCTGATGCCCTTGTCCTTCTAGATGAAGTGGTCGTAGGTTTGGAAGGTGCTGTCTGAGGATCTTTGGTGAATTTCTGCAGTGCATCTTGTAGATAGTACACACTGCTGCGACTGAGTGTCGGTGGTGGAGGGAGTGAATGCTTGTATGTGTAGTGCCAATCAAGCGGGCTGCTTTGACCTGGATGGTGTCAAGCTTCTTGACTGTTGTTGGGGCTGCACTCATCCAAGCAAGTGGGGAGTATTCCATCATGCTCCTGACTTGTGCCTTGTAGATGGTGGACAGGCTTTGAGGAGTCAGGAGGTGAGTTACTCGCTGCAGTATTCCAAGCTTCTGGCCTGCTCTTGTAGCCACTGTGTTTTTGTGGTGAGTCCAGTTGAATTTCTGATCAATGGTAACCCTCAGAATGTTGATAGTGGGGGATTCACTGATGGTAACACCATTGAATGTCAAGGGGCGGTGGTTAGATTGTGTCTTATTGGTGATGGTCATAGCCTGGCATTTGTGTGGCGCAAATGTCACTTGCCACTTGTCAGCCCAAGCCTGGATATTGTCCAGATCTTGTTGCATGTGAACATGGACTGCTTCAGTATCTGAGGAGTCATGAATGGTGCTGAACATTGCAATTATCAGCAAACATCCCCACTTCTGACCTTATGATGGAGGGAAGGTCATTGATGAAGCAGCTGAAGATGGTTGGGTCTTGGACATTACCCTGAGGAACTTCTGCAGAGATGTCCTGGAGCTGAGATGATTAACTGCCAACAACCACGACCATCTTCCTATGTGTCAGGTATGACTCCAACCACTGGAGAGTTTGCCCCCTGATACCCATTGATTCCAGTTTTGCTAGGGCTCCTTGATGCCACACTTGGTCGAATGCAGCTTTGATATCAAGGGCTGTCAGTCTTACCTCATCTCTGGAATTCAGCTCTTTTGTCCATGTTTGAACCAAGGCTGTAGTGAGATCAGGAGCTGAGTGGCCCTGGCGG